GCCTTCAGCCCAGACCCCTGTCCCAGGCTGAGACCGCTCCATCCAGAAGTCTCCTACACACCTCTCCCCGGCTGTCCCAGGGGCATCTCCTGCTCAACATGCACCAAACTGAGTTCATCCTGCTCACACCCGCTGCTCTCTGTATTCCCATTCATCCACTCAACACATAGTTATTACATCCCTCTTGGGTGTGTAAGAAAAAATGGAAGAATTTGGAATAAGCAAAAAAATCACTGCTATAATAAAAAAGATGGAAGATAACAAGTGTTGAGAAGAATGTGGAGAAATCGGAACGCTTACATGTTGCTGGTGGGAATGTAAGATGGGGCAGCCCCTGCTCCCCAAAAATCAGGCGTAAGCCCATGGAAGATGTTAGACTAGATTGCCAGAGATGGAGAGGGAAGTACAGTGTAGATGCTTTGATGGATGAGGGGGTACAGTGGGCTGACTTGGGGAATGGGGTTGTGTAGAAAGGGCAGGGAACTGGGGGGCTGGATTATGGGGCCTCTGAGGGATGGCCTCAGGTGTGGATGGCTCCAGGGGTGTCTGGAAAAACAGCATAAACACCACACAACCTGGGCGGGCGTTGGGTGCCCCCTGCCAAGCATGGTGCAGGGGAGTGGGGCTGCCTGTGGCCCTCAGGCTTCGGCTGGGGCAGCCATAGTGGCCACCTATGTGTCTTCTCAGGATGGCCAACGCCTCCTGGGATTGTGACCTGCACCCGAGATAGGGGGAGGCTCCAGGAAAAGGACCGTATCAAGAGCCCCTGCCAACTCCAGCAAGGAGAGGAGGGGCTCCAACAGGACTTAATGTATCACAATAAGGAAGAGCAGGGTTCCTTAGGTGCTGAGGGCCAGGATTAGTTCGTACGTAGAATTACGAGTTGTGACATGTGTGAGGGAAGAGGGGGAGGCCATAGGGACAGAGAGAAGAGGGCAGATCCACCATTTAGCAAGTAGAGGGGAGAGGTCTTAGTGATGGACTGGAAATGGAGAGGTGGAGATTGGTGCAAAAGAAAAAATTCCAGATTTCTGACTGAGAACTGGGTCAACCAGAGGGCATGCTCCATCCCTCTCCTCTAGATGATCCATCCGCGCCACCACAAAAAATCCCGAAGGCGTCGCTCCAGTGCGACCTGCTCCCTGTCGCCTACCCTCAGTCCATACGGACCGTCTCCTCATTCCCTCGAAATGTCATAAGATGCCGAGGCGGTGCGGGCACCGGGCAGGTTAAGGGGGCACATGTGTGTGAGAAGAGGAATAAAACCGCGGCCTTTCCCGGGTCAGCCACCAGGGGCTCCAGCGCGGCCTCGGCCGGGCTCCTAGAAGGTCTCCAAGCCCCGCCTCCAGAGGGGCCCTTCCCGGGGCGTGGCCTGCGCCCGCGGGTCCCGAAGCTTCTCCGCCCACCTCTACCCCGGCCCACCCCGCCCTGCCCGCGGGCGCAGGCGCGGGGCCCGGGCAGGGGCTGGGGCTGCGAGCGCGGGCATTCCCGCCCGGGGGCGCGGGGTCGAAGACCAGCTGGAAGGTTCTGAGCCGAGAGCCAGGTCCGCGGCTCTTGGACGGAGTCTGCGCATCTTCAGCCTCCGCATGTCGGATCAGGGCTGGGACGCCGGCCCGCCCGGGCTTGATCCTGGGCCGGGAGCGGGGCCCTCCCCTGGCAGAGCCGGCCCACCGCCTTCCCCAGCCGCTCCCGCCTCCTCCGCGCGCGCCCCAGCCGCTTCGGAAGCCGCCCGCCAGGGCCGGGGCGGGGGCAAGGGAAGGGGCGGCGCCCTCGCCCTCCCCCACGCGGCCGCGTGTGTGCCGGGGGAGTTGCCGGCGTTGGGCGGCGGGGCCCTTTGTCTGCATTCGCAGGGCAGTCGAGGGGAGGGAGAGGGAGTGGGACGGGGAGAAGATGATGGATGCCGGGGAGGGGCTGGGAGATGGCTGCAGCTGGGAAGAGCCGGGCCGTGAATGCAGCCTGCGTCTGAGAAGGGCCAAGAGAGTTTACCTTATTTCCCGCCTCCCCCGGGCCCCGCCCGTGACCGCGACCTCGCCCATACCCTCCCTGCCTGGGCCCTCTTTCTCTGCAGTGGAGAGCTGGAAGTGATGCTGGTGGGGCGGCGGCCTGTGCTCACCCCTGAGCTGGCTGCAGGTTTTCCGCCTCAGGATCTCCTCTAATCGTCAGGACCATTTTACGAAGGGGGAAGGGGGAAATCGAGGGGAAAGGGGAAGTCTAGGGGCCCGGCGGCGCCGGGCTGGGGCCCAGGTCAGCCTGCTCCCAGGCGGAAGCTGCCAGATCCGACAGCCACCTCTTGGTCCTCACCTGTTCCCTCTCAGCTTTTGACACTGGGCATCACTGTCCTTATTGAGTCGCTCCTGGCACCAGAAGCCCCTGATGTCTCGTTACAATTCTGGCCAGCGCTTCTCAGCTTCCTTGTGCACGTCTCTTCCTATCTTTTAAAAGTCTCCTAAGCTTTGAACTGGACCGGCTGCTCTTTCCACCTGACACTGTCGCCGGAAGAGCTCCATCTCCCTCAAGTAGGGCTGACTCCCAGACCTTTTTCCAGGCAACTCTTGCTTCGGAGGTGGAGACCCGGTACCCAATAGCCTCCTGGACATCTGCCCCGGATGTCCGGAGTCTCAGAGACAGCGCTGTCGTCTGTGTGGCCCATGGGAGTGTGTGTGTCGTGTCACGGGCTGTGTGGGTCAGAGGGAGGACGGAGAGCAGGAGGGAGCCGTCCATACACAACACTTTAGTCTCAGTGTGGCCTCTTCTTGGCTCCAGGGCCTTGGCTGTTAGAACTCATATGGCAGCAAGCTCTGTGTTGGGCCAGGCAGAATCCTCGCGGTGTATGTGTGTTTATGGAGGGGGCTCCTGGGGCCAGAAGCCTTGGTGCTATTGAGAGAGGGGTGGGGAGGCAGGCCTGGGGCCAGTTGCTCAGAAAATTGGATTATTTGGAAGTCACCAGTACTTCCTGGGATGGTTTCTCTGTTAGAACCAAGCTGAACTCCTTTAAAGGAGCCCTTAAAAAAAAAAAAACACCTTTTAAAGGGGTTAGTGTCCAAAACGGGGCCGCAGGTCTTAAAGGGGTAGGAGTGTTCCTTGGAAGCCAGCTTTGGTGGGGGCAACAGGTAGAACTCCCCCTCTGCCCCCAGGGGCCTGAGGGCTCTGGGCTTTAAAGGCTATTGTGACCCACACCAGTGGGACCCTTGCAAGACCCATCATTGACCAAGGCTGAGCTTCAGCCCCACTGGCAGCCCCCCCAGTCTTCTGGCCCAGCCTGCCAGCAACATATAGCCCACAGGACAGACCCCCGACTCCCTCCCTGAGGTCTTGGGATTCAAAAAACCGGTCACCCCTGCCTGGTCCCAGTTTTCCGTTCCAGAGACCTGCCACACCCCTTGGTCAAGGCCTCATGCAAACCAGGTTCTTTTCATTCAAGGACTTCCAGACAGGGGCTTAGCTGGCCCTCTGGCCACACCCGTGATGCCCCTTTCTACCCTTTGCCTGGGCTGTCAGAACGCCATGGTCACTTTCTCTGAGAAGACTTCCTGGCTGCCCTGACCAGGTGTCGTCTCTTTACTGTCCTTGGGCCCCATCCCACACCACCTTTTACTATCGTAAGACCAGGACTCCTTTAGCACGGTGACGCCAATGCCCAGCACTGAGCGTGGCCCAAAGTGGGTGCTAAGGACAAGTCTGCTGGATGCATTGTTTTAGAAGCCCTGGCTGAGCTGTCCTGGATGCTAGATGAGGATCAGCGCTGTTAGGGTCTAGCCTCATGAATGTTCTGGGACTTCTGATCAGGGGCCTAGTTTTCTCAAGAAGCGTGACCTCTGGATGAACTTTAAGACGCAGCCCTTGGCAAAAAGCTGTCACCCAGAATCACCCTGGGCCAGCGGGGGCTGGTTCCTGTTTCCTCTGCAGGCTTCAGCTCCAACCCCTCCAGGACTCAGCCTGCTGCAGTTTGCTACTTGTTCCCAGGCTTTCACGGGACCTGACTTGGGAAATGATGGAAAGTATAAGTATTGGGCTCTGCCCCCGGTTTCTGGCACAGAGCTCCTAAAACCCTTGTAATTTCCTGGGTGATGGGATTGTCTTTTGTTCTAATGAGGCAACTCTTGGTGGCTCCTGGATGGGTGCTGGTCACCAGAAAGACCCAGCCAGGATGAAAAGCTTGGAACTTTCAGACCCCCACCGTCTCTTCTTCTGGGAAGAGGAGATGGGCTGGAGATTAAGTTAATAATGCATTGTCGTCTGTGCTGAAGCCTCCATAAAAATCCCCAAAGTACGGGGTTTGGAGAGCTTCCCGGTTGCTGAGCACGTGGTGGAACTGGGTGGGTGGCCTGCCTGGTGAGGGCTTGGGAGCTCTGCGCCCCTCCCCTACCTTGCCCTATGCATCTCTTCCTTCTGGATGTTCATTGGTAGCCTTTATCATATCCTTTATGATGAACTGGTAAGCATAAGTGTTTGCCTGAGTGTTTTTGTGAGCCATTCTAGTAAATTATCGAACCCAAGGAGGGTGTTGTAGGAACCCTAATTTATATTCAGTCGGTCAGAAGTACCAGTGACAACCTAGGCTTTTGATTGGTGTCTGAAGTGAGGGGTGGGTGAGGGGATACTCTTGTAGGACTGAGCCCTTAACCTGTCAGACCTGTGAGTCAGATCGTAGGACACCCAGCTGGAGTTGGAGAATTGCCTGATGTGTGGAAACCCCCCATGTCTGGTGTGAGAAGTGCAATGTGACAGGAGTGTGAAAGTCAGGAGAAACGGGGAGTTTTTCCTTTGTGTGACCTTTGCCTTGTCCTGCCCCACGCCCTCAAGATGGGGCCCTGTCCTCAATCTCCTAGCTTCTCCCTCCACTTCCAGCTGCTGCTGACAACTCATAGGAGCTGGAGATTTTGCCTAGGTGGGTGAATGCACAGTCCTGCTTGCCCACTCTCAAATGTACATGGCAAGCACACAGACGTGCACACATGCGCACGCACACACACACTCAAACAGAGCCAGAGAGACACTGCTGAGCCAGAGGGACCAGTTTTATTAGATTCCAGCAAGACTATACCGTACATGTTTCATGCAGATTAAATATGTGTCTTTGCTGCCCCGGGAAGGAGCACTTTCCCTGCCGGCTCCTTCCTTGGCATGTCAAGGCGTGAGCATCAATCAGGGAGAACCCTCAATATATTCCGCATGGGGGGCAGTTGGGATCATGACTGGGGGTGGAGGTGAGACAGTGGGCAGCTGAGGGCCCCTGGGACCTTGAGTCTTCAGAGGTTCGGGGATAGGACCTTGGTCCTTTGCTGGTGGTGGCACCAGAGGATCAGGATCTTTCAGAGGCACCGGGATGGTAGGAACTTGATTCTTCACAGGCTCAGGGACCACAGGACCTTGATCCTTGACTAGTGCTGGGATCACAGGATCTTGACTCTTTGGAGGCTCTGGGACCACGGGACCTTGATCCTTGACTAGTGCTGGGACCACAGGATCTTGACTCTTTGGAGGCTCTGGGACCACAGGACCTTGATCCTTGACTAGTCCTGGGACCACAGGACCTTGATCCTTCACTAGTGCTGGGATCACAGGATCTTGACTCTTTGGAGGTTCTGGGACCACAGGACCTTGATCCTTGACTAGTCCTGGGACCACAGGACCTTGACTCTTTGGAGGCTCTGGGACCACAGGACCTTGATCCTTGACTAGTTCTGGGACCACAGGACCTTGACTCTTTGGAGGCTCTGGGACTACAGGACCTTGATCCTTGACTAGTCCTGGGACCACAGGACCTTGACTCTTTGGAGGCTCTGGGACCACAGGACCTTGATCCTTGACTAGTTCTGGGACCACAGGACCTTGACTCTTTGGAGGCTCTGGGACTACAGGACCTTGATCCTTGACTAGTCCTGGGACCACGGGACCTTGACTCTTTGGAGGCTCTGGGACCATGGGACCTTGATCCTTGACTAGTGCTGGGACCACAGGACCTTGACTCTTTGGAGGCTCTGGGACCACGGGACCTTGATCCTTGACTAGTGTTGGGACCACGGGACCTTGATCCTTGTCTAGTGCTGGGACCACAGGACCTTGACTCTTTGGAGGCTCTGGAACCACGGGACCTTGCTCCTTGACTAGTGCTGGGACCACAGGACTTTGACTCTTTACAGGTACCACAACCATAGAATCATGATCCTTCAGAAGCTCTGGGACCACTCCACCTTGATCCTTGACTGGCTCCGGGACCACTAAACCTTGGCTTTTTACAGGCTCAGAGACCACAGGGCCTTCATCTTTTACAGGTGCTCTGACCATGGCACTTTGATCGTTCAGATGCTCTGGGACCAAAGGACCTTGATCCACAGGCTTAGGGACCATGGAGCTTTGATCTTTGGCAGGTGCTGGGACCGCAGGACCTTGATCCTTTGGAGGCTCTGGCACCATGGAACCTTGATCTTCAACTCTTGCTGGAACCATAGGACTTTGATCTTTTAGAAGCACTGGGACCAAGGAACCTTGGTCCCTGACTGGCGCTGAGATCACAGAACCTTCATTCTGTAAAGGCTCAGGGACCACGTGATCTTGATCCTTAACTGGTGCAGGGACCGTGGGACCTAGATCTGTCAGAGGCCCTGGGACCGTGGGGCCTTGATCCTTTGGAAGCTCTTGGCTCACAGGACCTTGATCTTTCAGAGGCCCCAGGCCCACGGGACCTTGATCCTTGTCTGGCTCTGTGGCTACAGGACCTTGAATCTTACGGGAATCACCGGTGGGTTCGACCAGGCTCCTGCAGAGGAGAGAGAGGTGGTCACTGTGAGGGCCAGGGCTCAGGCCGAGGGTCGGGCAGAGCACAGATTGCCTGATGAGTCTTGGCCTAGTGGAGCCTGGGCAGGGCAGCTCTTGCTGGAGAGCCAGGAGGAGAATCTGCTTTCCATGTTCTTAGCACAGCACGTGGGGCGGGGTGAGGGGCAGGCTCAGGGATCAGTCATTCAATGTGCTTGCCAATTGATTATAACCTGCACGTGGCACAGAGGCACGTGCCCAGGTGACAAGGGCAGTATGACAGCAGGACTCAGAGTCCCCCAGTGGGCATCCCAGGAGCCCGTCCACCCCACATGCCACCCAGGCCGCTCTTCCTCCACGATGGCCGGGCCCATCCACCCTGAGGCCCCCCCCCCAGGCCAGAGGGCTCTTGCCTTGTTCTCGGGGCCTTCCAAGGCTCCTTCCCCTCCCCGTCCCCCTTGCTAAGGGCTGACTGTGGGGAGGGGCAAGGGGTCCATGGCACGTCAAGAAAGAGGGCAGTGGCTGTCCCTCTTCCACTCTCCCCTACAGGGGGAAAAGCATTTTATCACTGACATTTAGAATAGCCGGCACACAGCAAGAATAAAAAGCAGACCGGCTTTTAATTGGTTTTATTATTGCTGTTAAATTCTCTATCTTCAATGCACCCCCTTGTTGCCTACGCCACTGCCATTGCCCCCACCTTTGGTAGATGACTGGCTGGGACTCCCCATTCGGGCAGGGAAGAGGCCCTCTCCCCTCGCTCCCTCCCCACTTCGGCTCCCTCTGCTCTCCCTGGGCCCTTGCCCTCACTTACTCCACGAGGCTCCGGGGCTGATTTCCCTGCAGCCAGGAGTCCAGGCCTCTCACAGAGTCCTCACTGGCTGCTCTGTCGGCCTCACTGTGGGCACCGGCCCCATCCCTGGGCCCACCCACATCGTGGGGAGCAGGTGACAGCCCTGACACCAAGGGCAAACAGTGCACTCAGACGCTGCCAGTCTAGGTTAAAATGCATGCTCCTTTCTTGCAGGCTGGACTAAAGTTGCCACTCACGAGTGGCTACTCAGCCAGTGTCACAAGCCCTTGCATACCTACAGCACACTCCAGTTCCCAAATCACTGCTTTTCATAGCTCGTTTCAGTGACGCAGCAGCCCTGGGAAGCACGCGGGGAGGGTTCTATTGCCCCTACTTGTCAGAGGGAGAAACTGAGGTCCAGAGAGGGCCCACGATGGGGACGGTGAGGGCCCCTGCCTGGGCTCTGGGTTCTGGGCTCTGGAATCTGGGTCTTCTCCCTCCTGAAGCCCGTTCCTTCTCCCCCACGGTGCCTGGCACACAGTAGGTACAGTACAGGGGAGCTGTTATTCCCTTTTACACCTCGTGGCCTATCAAACTAGGTCAGCATTTTAACAGCTCCTATCAGCTTTCAGGACTGTGTCATACCTGCTTATCAAAGCTGCTCCAGTAAGACCTCTACTGGTCACACTTTCCTAGCTCATTACGCTTCCATTTCCCTGGGCCTCAAGTTTGCTGTCTATTTCATTGAGCATAATGATATTTACTCAGACAGTTTCGAGGATGAGAGATCATGTACACAGACCACCCTGTACCATGATATTACTATGTGATATTAGAATTGTTTTTATGTTTACTTAGAAGGAAAATTACACATATTTGGACTATTTTTAGTCTGACATGTCATCCTGATGCAGAAGCTTTTTACTGTATTTAGCATCTTGAGCTACCTGGAGACCGACGTGTCTCAGCAGAGTACACAGTGGCACAGGCAGCCTGTCCAGCCAGTCCCTCTTGATGTCTCTGAGCATCGCAGGGGACAGAGAGGGCCAGGGCGGCTTCTTGCACGACAAGTGCACAGCTGCCCTGGCCGGACAGATGCAGCTGGCTGCCATCAGTAGGACCTCAGCATGTGCAGAGAGAGCCAGGCAAGGCCAGGAGAAGCATGCAGAATCCAAGGGGGGCATGAAAATACCTCTAATACTTGCTGGCTGGCCAGAGAGGAAAAAGAAAAACCTCCTTCAGCATAGAATCAAGAGGAAATTGATTAGTGAGTGACCTGGGTGAGGTTACCCTGAAGGGGTGACAAAGCTGAGACAGGAGACCAAAAAGCTGACCGGAGCTTCGCTTGATCTCAGGGCTTGGGTTGCAAAAGCTGTCCCATGGGCAGGACATGGACCCAGCATCCCTGCTGGCAGGGAGATTAAAAAGAGGGCCAGCCCCACAGCGTGGGTGGCAGAATACACTTGCCGGGATGTCTGCAGCCTTGGCTCCCAGGCCGCACCCCAGATTTCTGTCTGACGAGCACTCTCAGCCAGTGTGAGCTAGCCTCAAATTTTCTCAGATGTAACATCCTGTATTGCTTTGGTTAGTAAACTTGTTTCCTTAGTGAGGAAGTGTCTTTAATCATGGGAAGGTTTAGAATTAAGATTAGAAATGATAAATCAAATGTATAATATTTCCTTTTTTTGGTGTTAAGTTTAGGAAAATCTGTGTAGATTTAGTTTGAAAGTATTTGTAATGTTTAAAATAATTTGGAAGGGGCCGGCCCAGAGGCGCAGCGGTTAAGTTCGTATGTTCTGCTTCGGTGGCCTAGGGTTCGCCAGTTTGGATCCTGGGTGCGGACATGGCACTGCTTGGCATGCCATGCTGTGGTAGGCGTCCCACATATAAAGTAGAGGAAGATGGGCACGGATGCTAGCTCAGGGCCAGTCTTCCTCAGCAAAAAGAGGAGGATTGCAAGCAGTTAGCTCAGGGCTAATCTTCCTCAAAAAAAAAAAAAAAAAATTGGCATATTAGAATATATAACAGATTAGCTTTGTGATACCAATATAAAATGCATAATGGAATACTTAATTTAGACGTGATTTTAAGTTGAAAATATAATTTTATAAATTTTATAAACAATGATGGAACTTTTATGACAACCCAACAGCTATCATATTTTTAACCTTGGCTTAAAATTATTTATAATTTAATTTAAATTATGTAAGAGAATTGAATTAAGTTATAAAACCTCCCTTAAAACACAGACTTACATTTTACTAGATTTTTAAAATTTGTTACTTTTATAAATTAAGCATTCATTTTAAAACCAAAGCAGCCCGGGTTGGTTCCTATGAACAAAACTGTGCTCGAGGGCAACATAAAACTCTCACTGACACTGACTGGCCATCACTTGGTCCACAGTGCCCGCCAGCCTCCCCATCTGAAAGCTGCCCCACCACTCCCAGCAAGGCTGGCAGGAGCCACACTCACAGTGCCCTCTGTGGAGCGAGACAAAGTCACACCCGAGGGTGGCAGCCGGGTGCATGATGGGTAAATGGAGATGGGCTGGATTCAGCCCGCAGCCCACAGGCCCACTGTCCTTGGGCATGGCCCAGCCTGCACAAGCAACTCTGGTGCTCTGAGCCAGCTGCAGGGCTCCTCAAGACACCCTATGACACAGCCCCTTCTGCCTCCCAGCCTGCATGCTCTCTCAGGAACTAGAACCACTGGCTGGGTTAATCTTGGCTTCTGTGCTGCTTGGTGCCTGCAACATCTTGGGCAGTTATTCAACCACAATAGACCTCTGTGTCCTCACCTGTAAGATGGGGACAACAATACAAATGTCAGGGACTTCTAGGACAGAGGATCAGACGACCCTGTTAGGCAGGGATCTGAAGTCATAATTCTTGATATTCATAGAGTGCCTGGGGGGCATCACACGAATAAGTCCTTTACTATAATGACTGCAGTAACAGTTTGCTCAATGCTCCCACGCTTGTTCCTTTAGCTCACTGGACCCCACAGCAGCCCTGGAGGAAGCCAGCCCTGCAGCCTCCCCCTCCTTGCACTGTCCTGGGCCACTCCACGCTGTTTCACATACTCCCAATGTTCTGTTTATTTCTGCTGCCTGGATTGCCCTCTTTCACCACTTTTGCCTGTCTGTGCTTGACGGCTCGGCTCAGATCCCACCTCCTCACAAGGTCTTTCTGGACGTGTCCCTCCGCATTCATTTTGTCCGTGTCTCCCCTGCAGCACCATTTCATGGTCTCTCCCCACATTCACAGATACCCCAGTTACATGTCAACCTTCCCCCATTAGACTGTGAGCTCCCTGGAGGCAGGGCCACCCTCCTTGCCTGCAGCCCCCATGCCCAGCAGAGTATCTGGAACAAAGGTCAAACGGAAGGAAAGATTTACATAGTATTGTTGCTGAAACCTGGTTCATCATCTACCCCCGGGCCTCAGCCAGAGCCAGTCACCCTTGACACCTCCGTCTCCCCCAAAACCTTCACCCGAGCCTTCAAGAGCCATCTGTTCCAGCTCCTAACATTAATCTCTTGAATATTCCCACTTCTTTCCCTCCCTCCCTTCGCCCCACCAGCTGTGCCAGCCTCTCTCTGGACCGCTGCCTGTCACAGCCTCCTAACTGGCACCCCCTGCTCATCCTCCAATCTGTTTGTCATACAGAGATCAGAATGCCTTTCAAAAAAAGCAAATCCCTTCTTCGCTGCTAACAACTCTTCAATGGCTCCTGCTTGCGCTCAGAATAAAGAGAACCTGTTACCTGGCCCAGCTGCCCAGCTCACCAGCCTGCTCCTGCAGCCTCCTCACCCCTTGTGTCCCAGCCTCCCAGGACTATGTTCTGTTCCTCCGTGTGCCCTGCTCCCTTCCATGTGTGGCTTTGCACATGCTGTTGTCGCCTCCTGGAACATTCTCTGGCTCCCTCTTCCACTGGTGGGTGCCTAGTCATCCTCCACCTCTTGGCTCCCTGGAGTACTTTCTCAGGGAAGGCTTCCCCAACCCCGCAGAGGTGAGGAGGTCCCCTGCTCCCCACTCTCCTAGTCCCTGGCACTTTCTTTCCTCCCCCTTTTCATGGCTAATTACTTGCATTCTTTTGGATTAACATTTCTCCTACTAGACTGAAGCATTCGGAGGGCAGGACCGTGTCAATTTTGCACATCATTATCCTCTGCACCTAAAACAGCGCCCGACCCAGGGAAGGCCCTG